TTTTTTTTTTAAAAAAAATTTGTGAGTAAATGGGGTATGCCCCTCTTTGTATGATGTTAATGCAAATTCATTTCATTATGACTTGTGCAAAGAATTCAGTAAATTGTGGCATTGACCAAAAATAATAGTGCGCAATGTTCTTGTTCAATGGTACAAGAACAATAAGTTGTACACTTAAGATTTCTGTTACCATTTTAATCCATATAACTGTGATTAGTTTTGCTTACCGTTATTGTTTTATTTTTCACCTTTTCATGGTCTCTTTTACAGGAGAGAGAACTTTTGGAGTTTTAACTAAGATTGATCTCATGGACAAGGGTACTGATGCTGTAGATGTAAGTTGACCTATGTAGATTTCTAATATGATCATACTGATTGGGAGGGGGGAAAAGGGAAAAGTTTTCAGTCTGATGATTGATTATACTAAGTATTTTAGAATCTTTTTTACCTGAACTTGTGTACATGTACTAACACATATGGATCCCCATTAGATAAAACAAACTGGATGATGCCTCTTCATGCAGCTGTTTTGTAAATTAGTGCGATATCTCAGTATTTATAACATCTGATCTAGATTGCAAATTCAGAATGCATAAAGTTGTTCAAGAAAAAGTATTTTTACTTTTTTTAGATCTTAGGCAAACATGCTCTTGGCTACATTTTAGTTTTCACCATTTCTGGTTTGTTTATCTGTTTTGGCAATGATATTTGATTAATTTGGTCTTGGATTTTTGTGTTATCTAGTGATATGGGTCTTTTTTTTAACAAGTATGGAAGGGTATAGTTCCTGACTTGTATTTGGGATTCACAGATCTTGGAAGGAAGAGCATATAAGCTGCAGTTCCCTTGGATAGGTGTTGTTAATCGCTCTCAACAAGATATTAATAAAAATGTTGACATGATTGCTGCTAGACGTCGAGAGCGGGAGTATTTTGCTCAGACACCAGAATATAAACATCTTGCTCACAGAATGGGTTCTGAGCATCTTGGGAAAGTTCTATCCAAAGTAAGCAATTATTTTGCATTAATAGATCTCTTTTTAATTATGCTTCAATGAGAAGCTTATGAAACTTATATTTTCTACTTTTCTGGATTTTTTTTTTAAAGTTGGCTTATCTGATCTTAGGAAACGTGTCCGATTTGACATTTTTGCTGTACTTTTGAATTTTTTCTTCTATTATCAGCCAAGAATGCAGACGTTATCACTGCATCAAGCTGTCTCATAATTTTTTACTGTTAAAAAAAAAATGCTTTATCTAATTGCTATCTAAAGCTTTGTTTGATGGGTCAACATTTATTGGTGGTGTATAAATGTAGATTTATGAATTGGATCTGTCTTTGTTTCTTTGTTGATTGATTTATTTGTTGCTGGTCATATTCTCACGAGTCAGCGGGACTCCTGGTTCATTGTCTAATGGAGTTGCGATGCATTTTAATGCATTGGACAGCGTATCAGGGTGCCCACTAATGATGAATAAATAGCATTATTATTTTCTCACATTGAAGTTACTAATGACAGTTATTTTTTGATGTTTCTGACTGCTGCTTTATGTTATAGCATTTGGAAACTGTCATCAAATCTCGAATTCCAGGCCTTCAGTCACTTATTAACAAAACTATTATCGAACTAGAATCTGAGTTGAGTCGTCTGGGAAAGCCCATTGCTACAGATGCTGGAGTAAGTACACCTTTCCATTTACTGCCATCTCAGAATGTGTTTATGGTCATTCAAGGAGTTTATTTTTGTATCATACTTTGCTGCTCAGGCTACTTGCTTGATTCTTTTTATGCTTTCATGTGTTTTTCCTGTATGCTAGTTTTGAAGTTAAATATGTTCTAATGTTTGCTCCTCAGTCGTCCTCACTGCATTAATCATTTTAATCTTTAGTCCCAAATTATCGATGCAGGGAAAGTTGTACATGATAATGGAAATCTGCCGTGTATTTGATGGAATTTTTAAAGAACATCTTGATGGAAGGTATGCATTAGGGAATTTTGGTATCACTGTCTTTCTAGTGTTTAAGACTCTGTATATCATATTTTCATGTTATAGTTCATTCTAATCCTCATTTGATTACCGCGTAATTCTGCAGTCGACCAGGTGGTGATAAGATATATAATGTCTTCGATAACCAACTACCTGCTGCATTAAAGCGGTTGCAGTTTGACAAGCATCTTGCCATGGAAAATGTGCGGAAATTAATAACTGAGGCCGATGGATATCAGCCTCATCTTATAGCTCCCGAGCAAGGTTACCGGCGTCTCATTGAAACTGCCTTGATTACTATTAAAGGTCCTGCTGAGGCTGCTGTTGATGCGGTATGTAACTATGTATTTTCATTATGCTGGAATATAAATTATATTTATAAATTCATTGATTCATAAGGAATGTAAAAGCCTGTTGATTTCCAAGAAATAGAAAAGGGAAATGTTTTCAATGTGGATATTTTCTGGGATATGGAATATTAATCCTTTTCCACATCTTACAGCCCCGTTTCTGTCAGTGAGACTGAATATTCTTTGCCTATAAATACCATGAATTATGGAATAATCGATTGACAAATAAAATGAATTTTTTATCACCATATCAGACAGCATATAAGTTGACATGTTCATGATGGTTGTCATGTAGATCTAGACGATGCCTTTTTTGGGCGCAGGAGCTGAATACTCTGTTTGAAAAGTAGAGTGTGGATCACAATGTTTATTGGTGAAACAGATAAGTTGCAAAATATGCCTGCGGATCAACTAATTTTTCTTCCTTTTTAGGTTCATGGGATACTGAAGGAACTGATTAACAAGTCCATTAGTGAGACTTCGGTAAGCCCTTTTCTTCTTTTCTTTTTTTGTCTATTAAGTGTTGTTGATTTAATTCATAATATATTTTGATGGAAAAGTGTCTTGGATATCACAAGCCTCAGGATTTCTGAATTCTGTTACGACTTGAAAATTATTGTTCAGTCCTTAGAATTGGTCCACTTTATTCTTGTATCTGATAGTACATGCTCAATATCTGCATACGTCCCCTACCCTTTGCCCTTCAAAAATTATAAAGAAAAGAGGAACTGGATGGAAATAGGAAAAATTATCTTATTCCATTTAAAGTTTCAAGAGCATGTTTGGCTGGCTTTAATTAGTACTTTTAAGTTAAAGACTATCAACTTACAAAGAAATATGTTTTTGAACTAAAAATCTTAAAAAATGTTAACTTCTAAAATGCTCAAACATTTCACAAGAAGTTCGTTAAATTAATATTTGTCTTCCTTATTGTGGGCAGGAGCTGAAGCAGTATCCCTCTCTCAGGGTAGAGGTTGGGAACGCAGCTGTTGAATCATTAGACAGGATGAGGGATGAAAGCAAGAGAGCAACAATACAGCTAGTAGAAATGGAATATAGTTACTTAACTATAGATTTCTTTAGGAAGCTTCCTCAAGATGTCGAGAAGGGCGGAAATCCAACCCATTCAATTTTTGATCGATACAATGATTCATATCTTCGACGAATCGGTAAGTTTATATTAGCATTTTTTTCTTGCAATTTTAGATCTTCAAGTGTTGTAATTTCTTAAATGAGCCTCTTGCCTCTTGAGCAGGATCGACTGTTTTGTCTTACGTCAACATGGTTTGTGGAAGTTTGAGGAACTCAATTCCAAAGTCTATCGTTTATTGTCAAGTCCGAGAGGCAAAGCGCAGCTTACTCGATCACTTCTTCACTGAATTGGGCAAAAAAGAGGTAATAATTCTATTATATAATCTGCAGCCACCCCACGGGGTAGGAACACATGCACGCACTCAGAGATGCACATAAACACGAACATGCACATATATATATTGGAGTTTTACAATGTATAAATTCACTGCACGGCTTTACAGGGAAGACAGTTGAGTACGCTATTGGACGAGGATCCAGCAATCATGCAGCGTCGTGTTTCTCTTGCAAAGAGATTGGAGTTGTACAGAGCTGCTCAATCAGAGATCGATTCAGTTGCTTGGTCGAAATAATAATTAAAAGAGAGAGAGAGAGAGAGAGAGAATATCTTTTCTCCTTTCCTTGTCCTCCATTCTTTCCTCATATCGTGCTTTAATTCTTTGATGCAATTCAATATTCTTTCTGCACTAGAAATTTGTTTTCTACCAAAGTTTTGTGAATTCTTCATTTGTTTCTGGTTGTGTGAAGTTCATTCTTTTAGTGATACTGCACTTTCACAACACGAGCCTATAATAAACAAAATTTAGTATAAACAGTTTCTATTATATAATATGTCAAAAACTCAAGTTCAAGATTAAATCATACAAGTATTCACATCTACTTCTCTTTTGAATGGATTGAAAATATTTAGTCCCTAGTTTCACTTACAGAAGTCTTTTCAAACGTCTAAAAGTTGTAGCTCCCTTTATTTCAATTTTATGAATGTGTGGATGAAATTAATATTTTACTTTTACTAAATTTATAAGCCATTTATATGTGGATTCACTTCAAAAATAGGAATTATGCAAGCTAATTATCATTCGGTTCAACTCATGATATTAAGTTTTCAAATTAAGGGTGTGATGAATATTATTGAGGAAAGAATATATTTTAAATAGTGATATGATGGGAAATATGTGGTTAAAAAGTAAGAAAAAGTTATTTATGTGATAAAAAATATTATTTTATTGAAAAATGTGCAGAAGAAAATGAGTTTTGAAAAAATGTATTTTGAAAGAATGTGTGTCGGCTATGAAATTCAACAGACTAACATTGGGAATATAAGTTCCACTACCATTACCAAGTTTTTACATCAACTTCTATTTCAAAAGTTTTATTTTAGGATGATGCTAGTGGTACATAAGCATCTACATAAGGGTCTACATAATGCTGACGTGGCATGTGATCCACCTTTAATTCAAATCTGACACTTACACATCAAGAACCGGATGATTGCCACTTCATCATTATGTAGAACTTTATGTAGAGGCTTATGTACCACTAGCATTATCCTTTATTTTAAGAAAGAAGTGTAACAAAATATATTAAAGGTAACCTTACACAAAAACTATGGATGTTCAATGTACTTATATAAATCCATATAACCTTCAACGAATAACTTAGTAAGTAATTGCAATCTTCGTCTCTTTATAACTTTTTTTTGTCTTAGTTGGGTGACTTTAAGGAATTTGTAATATACAAAAAATAGTTGTCACTTGTCCCAAATTGTCCCGTCCCTTGTTAGGGCTCTAATGTCTACTTTGAACTTTGGTTAGAAAATTACCAATAAAATTGACAAATAAGGAGAGAGTGTCTAATGTGCTTATAAATCCCAAAACTGAATGGTATTGAATTCAAAAATAGTCATCATCTAACGTATTCGTGCAAGTCGAACCCATTGTTGAAAGCAATTGCAAGTGAATGTTCGGTCTAATTGCTCTGAAGAAAATTTCGGCTGCAAATGCCTATGAATGCTAGATATCCTATGCAGTTAACAATATACAATTCTTTTCTATGAACTTGGCATGAGCTTGATTTCTAGGTTCTAACTCTATTGTTAAGCCCTTGCAGTGTGGCAAATGCAACAAAGAAACACGAAAACTTGAAAGTAATGAATTCATATCAGCCTTGGCAGCAGGCATGAATTCGAAACTAATTGTAGAAGTCACTTCGGCGGCCTCTTCATGGACAGTTGCCTTGGCAGCAGCTGTTCGGAAAGCTCGTATGCATTCTTCCCTGACCAAGAACTCTAGACAAATTGCAAAAGGTAATTCAAGACTTGGGCCTAAATGAAATGGTCGAATTTAGAACTGGAAATAACCTATTGAGATATTGCCACAATACGAGAACATCGATTTCTCCTCCTTAATGGTAAATTGTAAAGATGATGACTAAGGAATTGTTAGGCAAATTGTTGTCAAACGACCGGCGATGATGAATAGAATTGTCTTAATTCAGTCGGCATAGTCCAAATGACTGAAACCCTAGTTGGGCCATTGGAAGCAGCCTAATCTTAATTAGTGCTGCTCATGGCCCAACCCAAACATGGAGGGCTTCCATATGTTGATGGCCCACTTATATGTTCCTACTTGGGCCTTATCTTGTCTTATTGGGCTTAACCTAAAAACTATATCTAATCCTATACATATGCAATACCCGTTACTATTCAGAGTAAGAGACTTTTGTGATAACCTGGATAGAAAACAGTGGTTTTCGGCTGTGTGCACCTTCGACCGTGGCTGTGTGCTACTTCGTCCCTTTCTCTCCTTTGCCTTTCTGGCTACCCTGTGGTTATTAAACTCTCCCTCCTTTTCGAAGTTCCTGTGTGGGCAGAAAACGGTGGAGCAACCGGTTTGGTGTGTTTGGGTGTTTGGGTTTTCTCATTGTGGTGTCGATTGAAGATTCTGAGCCTGGATTCTTGGAGCAAAGTAGGGTGTTTATCTTCACATGAATATTGCTCGAAAACTTGGTCGATGGGAGAAAAGGGGTGGAAGGACATTTCAAAGGAGTCGTAACTATGGTTAAAGTACGGTCGGTCGCGTAATATATGTAAAGGTATGGAGATTACAATGGTCGAGAAGAGAGTTCGAAGCAGAGGAAGTCATACTCTAGCAGAGTGAAAGGGTCTGTTCGTGAAGAAGACGGATAAGAGCAAATGGGTTTTTGCAGTTGATGAGAAAAGTGGAGAGTAACACATTTTTAGTATGAGAAGACTCTCAAAAGATGAGATTTGTACAATTTCCCACAAAAAATGTATGCAAGGAGTCCGTGAGAACATCAAGTTGACAAGCAACTCAACAGCTTATACAAACTTGTACATAAGTGGACCATGTAAAAAATGTTGGTATTCTTGTTCATATAAATGTATGAAAAAGGAAGAAATTGACGTATATTTATGATTTTTATAAGTGTAAGAAAATGAGTCAAGTTTGGAGAAGTTTTACAATGTCGATCGTCTGGATTCATTATTCACATCTATAATAGATTGAGTCAAACGACTTTTTAAAATATAACGTAACTCAACATTAGTTGTTTATTTAGTTGTATTTGTGCGAACCAATGATAGCAAAATTTATTACTTTTGACAAAATTGAACTTCAATTAACCTTCATGTTGTTTGACTCTTACAAAATTTTACAGTACTAACGAGAATAACAAATGAAATTCTCATAACTCTACATTCACACGAAGAAAATAACATTGCTATTCAGAGTTGAGAAAATTGTTCATTTGAATCAATGTTCAATTATAGGTAAAAGTTTTACTTATACCTTTTTTTTTACATTAGAATAAAAGTACAATATCGTATATTAACTATTTGATACCAGAAATGATGTAATGTCTATGATGGACATATGTTATAATACCCACAATAGACGACAACATTTGGTCCACTTGGCAATACCGAATGTTGCCATGCTCACGGCAAGCATTATAATCCATGCTCATCGTGGGCATTATATCAAAACTATTGATAGTTCTAATTGCATCTTATCACCATTTAAACAATCATTCATACTTTAAAAAGGACATAGGTGAACATAATGATATTTTTGTACATTTTTATTTAAATCCAAGGGTATATTTGTTTCAATTAACTTAACCTTTTATATACAGAAACTGTGAGTAAGGATGAATTTTACTTGAAAAGGGAAAGTTAAGAACTTAATTGTGACAAATAAAGATTGAGGACTGGAATGTAAAGAGATCTAACGTTGAAGACTATATGTGCAGTTTAACCTGCGAATCACTCAGTAGAAAGCCTATGACAATTTTACACAATTTGAATTCCTGACTTTCCCGCGCCTATATATAGTCCTCCGGAGTTCGATCAATAGCTTCTTCACATACTACACACACTAAAACAGTTGAAAAGCACACATTCCAAATCCAGAGAGAGTGAAAAATTCGTAGAAGAAATAATGGGGAAGCAAATGCGAAGAGCGAGATCAATTCGTTCTTGTGTCTCTCCGCGATGTTCCTACCTCGCTTCTCTCTCCCTTTTCAGCTGGTATGTATATTTACAATACTTGCATATTCTGTATTTATATTTAAAAAAGTGTGCGTTTGTACATTTGATTTTCATATGTCGATAAAATTGATATCAACAGATCATTTGTCATTGAAAACGAAGCCTAATTTTGAAGGTTTTTTCCGATCACGGTAGTTCATTCCTGTTTCAGTTCAAACTAAAATGATTAGAAAGATATAAATTTAAATTTTCTTTATTTGATTCAAATCAGTATGTTTGTGGTAATGTATCGGTGTAAATATGTAAATCTGTGTGACTGTCTATGATTCTGAGAATTTGCGTTTTAAGCCTACGATTTTGGACTTCAGAGCACGAAGCACGGCATGTATTTTGTGCGATGGAAAGGTCGCTATAGGTCAACAATTGTTAGACTTGCTATGCTTTATGGTATTGAGAATTAAAGGGCAAAAAATGTTCATAAGATGAATTTAGTGGCTATGAGGTTATTAAGATGGATTGCTAATGGATAATATAAAAACGAGAATGTTTGCCAATAAGTGGAGGTGACAAGGGTAGATTAAAGGAATAACGACTATTGTCGTTGGGACATATTTCATGTGGACCACAAAAGGCTCATGTTATCAAGTAGATCTCAGCAGAATGGGTTAGAAGAGGAGGCCTACTGCAATAAGCCTGTTGTGGCTTACTTCTTCTTGTTGTATTGATACAGAATCTGAATTTATTTTTCAATTCAGATAATCCAGTTAGCGTTTACTGAATTTTGCTTTAACAGAGGCCTTGATATTAAGCATCATATCTTAGTTCTATATATTTTTCCCAATATCACCATGATATATCTGTAGCAGTGAATACCAAATTTCTGATGCTGAATCGGAACACTGCTTGAGATAGAAGTTATGGTTATGAATGATGATTAGATAGAGATTTTACTTCTTCCATGCTCAGCTTAATGTCATAGTCCAATATGCCATTAAATTTGAATCATTTGATTGCATTTTCCATGTGTTTCTGTTTATTTTTAATGCAAAAAGGTACGAAGAGGACATGTGGACAGAGATTGCTAAATTTTTGGATGGTAGATCTCTGGTGATGCTAGCAGCAACTTGCACATGGTTCAATCGTATCGCAACGGACGATAGCGTGTGGAAACATGTTTGTTTGCGAGATCTTCAGGTCCCTGATCCTGGCACAGTCGCCTTCAAATGGATCAAATTATATGCCACAGCTTTTGGTAAATTTCGGCTTCCTTATTACTTATCTTGTGCTTAATAAATTTGATACTCCACTTGTGCAAAAATAACACTTTCATTTTCTGATAAGAGTTAATAGTATATATTTGCAGATGGAAGCCACTCGTACATGTTTCGTCAGCAGGAGAAGCATATTGGTGAATGCTCATTCTTCTTTAAGTTTTCACTTTTCCTGAAAACTGTCAGATTTCTTTAAAGTGAAATTGATTTGAGACTTGAATGGAAATTTCTACTTATGAGGTAATATGCAGAAACTTCAATGCAAGATTGGTTTAATTCTATGTTGTTGAGTGCCCTCAAGCTTGAACTTAATCTTTCTGCAGGGTTACTAAAATTTGAACCATTAAATTCCAAATTAATAGGCCGTAACCAGCTCCATATCCTATTGGCATTTGGATAGTACTGCTGGCAGTATTCTGATGTTATTTGCAAAGGAAATTTGATATGATTTCTGCACTTCATTACCATATTCGTCCACCTACAAGTTTTGCTGTAAATAGCAATGTACAAATAAAATCTTTGCTAACATGCCATTTTGTTAACTGTTATCCTTCTCCTGAACTCGACTTTGGAAAATATCAGAAATTTCTGATAGTATCAATTATCCCAGCATACATTTAGTTAGGAGATTTACATCGTGTGTTCAGCTTCAGTCGTCAATTGTTCTGTGTTTGAACACATTCTGTACAGCGTGCCTCTATGATGCATGTATAGACTCACGATTCTCTTTGTTCTACTGAATCAACAGATTGGATGCGAATTGGTGCATTCTTTTTTGACTCAAGGGATGCACTCCTGACAGAGACTCTGATTGCTCCATTGAAAATTTCAAAAGAAGAGACAACACAGAACATGTTGGAGTTGAATGGCTGTTGTGTGTTGAAAAACATCAAAGTTGGAATCTGGATTGCAGGTAATTCAATATTCATCTCATTTCTAAGATAATTCCTTTTGTAGCATTTGAAATGTTTCATAATTTAGAATCACACGTAATGGACTAAAATGTGAATGTGATCCCAGACTTGCAGCTCGTTCGATGCCCTGTCTGTGACCTCAAAACTTGTGATGGTGAGTTAAACCCAAGGCTTCTGCTCGAATATTTTTAACAGGATTTTTTGTCCTTGTTATCACATTGATCTCTGTTGCATATGATCCTGGGTGATTAAGAGTAACCAAAAACCAAGTATGCATGTTTTGTAATGGAGTACCAGGAAGGACTCGAGGGTTTAATGAAGAATATTTTAGTTTCTTTTTCTTCCTCAATACATTCTACATGATAAACCCAACTAACGCACCCTGTAAATAAGAGCATCCATGAAAAATCTAAATTCTTGTTCCCTTTTTGGGGTGTAGCTAGTTAGTTTAACTCTTCATGCATTCTGACATCTCACGAGTATTCCCCCCAAAAATGCCAAAAAAATGTAGGAATACGAATTACTTAAGGTTATGCATCAGTTCAAGAATTCTGGAGTAAGAGGACATCCCAAACTCATTTTCAGCCAAGTTAACAGTATATAATAAGTTAATTTTCTTTTCCTTTCACATGCACGAATGTCCAATAATAATCAGTTTCTCTAGCCATCCTCTTACAAGGGTGAAAAGGATATGTCCTGACTCAGTGCTAGGACCTGGGAATATGATTTTGTGCTTCTTTATGCAGGAACAATGCAGACTTTGGATGCAAGGCATATTGAAGTCTTCCTAAGTGAGGGATACAAAGATGGGAGCTGGGAGTACGAGTTGTTAGCCTCTCATGACATCAGTAAGCAGGCTGATGGAGCTTCTGCTGGAATTTTTGACTTGAAGCATCTCAAGGATCAATCTACCTCTGGTACTCTTCTTACTTTATATAATCCTCAATGGATTAGTAGCTTTGAGCCTCTTCATATAAATACTCGTGCTTTTGTCATCAACACATCACAAGGAGGCTGGATTCATTTTCTTATAAAATATCTAACACGAGCATAAATTTCATAAATGAGAGCGGTGGCAAGACCTAGACAAAAGATCTTTGATTGTCATAATCTGAAAGCTTAAATTATTATTTATTTATTTAAATTTTATATTCAACACAGTGTTAACAATAAATAATCTATCAGGTTGCTAGACTCATGCAATAAAAGATCAATTTTAAAGTTATATCCATTATGCGATGTCTGCCTTCTTATACTGTATGTTTTGGTAATCTTTCATCTTGTTGAAGCATTGGATTGAGTTTTTATTACCTGAATTGATTCTGTACACAAGGTAAACTGTGGATTAATTTTTACTAGATTTTCAGATATCTTTTGTCTTAAGACGTGGGTGGGGGAGCCGACGGACTGGCAACCAAAAGCTCTGAAAACCCTCCATGCAGTAGCAGTGAACACCAATCTACACGAGAATGAAGGTAAAAATTTCCTGGACGTATTATCAGTGAGCTAGAAGAATTTATTCTGACTGTTCATTCAATTAAGGCATATGAGTTGAGCCTTTAAAAGATGAAATATCCATAAGCTTAAGCTGGTGTAAATATGGATGTTAAGATGGATGTGTGGCCGTACTGAATTGGCCAACAAGTAGAGGTGGTTTCGATTTATGATATATGAAGGAAATGATGAATTTAGGTGGTTGGGAAATGTTTTTCATAGACCTAAACAGACTCTAGTTCATAAGAGTTGCACGATCTCTGAGAGGCAAGTAAGGAGGAGGAGGAGGAGATAAAAACTAACACTGCCTGTTTAAATTGCTAATGATCATTTTTTTTCCCTCTATCTTTGAGTAGATCTAACAATGAACTAAATGTATCGCAAAAACTTCGTATATATTCTCAGCCAGCCAGCCACATACACACACTCTCTCTCTAGGCGTACGGCTTCTTTTCAATTTTCCATTTGCATCATTGCTGCTAAATTCTGCTTAATTGACACCTACTAATAGACCTATTCAACAATTTCATCGTAAAATAACTATTTTTTTTACCTTTTATGTAACTATTTCTCTTTTTATTTGTTGGGAGCAGGTCTTAACGTTAAAATCCACGCTATGAAGACTGGAAAGGATGGTGAAGTTGTTGCAATTCGAGTATCTGAGCAGCTACTGTAGTCTCTATCACACACACACACACGCGCGCACATATATTCACACATACGTACGTACATACAATTAGTGTATAAGTGGTATCTTCAAATGAAGCTTGGTCTAACTTTGTAACCCCAAGTAGATTCTGTGTATTTCACACGCATAAACACGTCGATTTATTCATTCTTGTATTGGCAATAAAAGCAGATCTTTATATTCAAGAAACCAACGTTACAATTATAATATGATCTAGCTGATGAGCAACGGCACTCGAAAAGATGCAGTGTTCTTTATACTTTTTTCGTATTATCCTATTCTGAACTTGTTTTATCTCATTCCGTAGAACTTCTCTCTGTTAGTCTTTTTAATCATGCATGTTCACTGAAAGTCTGACTTTGGATATTGAAGTAAAAAGCATGTTATTCAGCTCGACATCAACAACTTTGATGGGCCAACCTGAAACACTAAATGTATGTGATTGGGATATATTTTGCTGAGACATAAAAAGGCTCGTGTTCGCAAGTGACAAAATTTTCAGTAGGACAAAGAGAGGGAGATGAAAGTTAACGTTGTGTGTTGTGATTGCTAAAATCTAGTTTCTACTGGATTTGGCAATAAGGTCGAATAAATAGGCCCAAAAAATTCATGTAGTCAACCTCAAATTTATTGGAAACAATGCGTAACTTTATTATTTATTTTTGTTTGGCTTCAATCCTGCCCCCAAAATGTTGACTTCGCAAAATATAAAACATCAATAGAGTATGTTTCTCAGACTTCGAGACAAATGGGCATCCAAATCATCTTCTTTCTGTTTCTACTCTTTTCAATCAAATATGCAGCCGGGAATAATTGTCCATCTTCCTATTGTCAACAGCGGCTTCTCCATACACTTCCTATTCTCGTTAGAAAGAGTACAACAGTTCTTGATCTCCCTTATTCCGGTCAGCTCTACGTTCGATATATTTATTACGACATAGGACAAATACAACTCAGTGATCCGAATAATTGCCTCCCAAGGAGTTTGAATCTTTCGTCTTCTCCTTTTACGGCTGTTTCCTCTCCCATATATACTTTTTACTAAAATGGCCCTAAAAGTCCAGTAATTGAATACCACTTGATTTGTAGATACATCTAAAAAGTTTCAACTGAATACCCCTTAATTTTCAAAGGCTCTTTAAAAGTCTATAAAAGATACACCCAAACTTTTTAAATCTGCAAAAGTCTTTAAGCGTTCCAATTGAATACACCTCCCTTAGCTTTTCCACATTGGGTAGAATCGGTCGTATCAGCTTAATGTAAACCCTCATCATAAAACCTTACCACGAGAGAGGACGAAAACATATAATCTACCATCTTGAGTTGGAGCCTTAACCACTATGTCAATCATATCTGATATCATATCATCAAGAAAAGTAACAATCAGTAGAAACAGGAACAATTCAATCTAAACCGTAATACAAATTGCAGAAATGATATTCCGAATACAACACATTTAGTTGAAGCTAGATTATTAGAAATCTTCATCTTGATATTTCAAAACTTGCAGTTTGATCAAGTGAGAAGACAAGGCTTTTCATTTCTTGGCAAACAGCTTCTTCGGAAGCATCTCCAAAGGTGTCGTTTTGAGCAGAAAAAGCCTGGCAGCACGTTCTTGCAAACTACCACCACATTTCAATCCACGTGCTTGAAGCTCCAATTTTAACCTCTCCAAGCCAAGAACCTGTAATTGATTTTAGTTACATAATATGAGTGGCCAGTCACATACCCACAACTATGAAGAATGCGTCCTTGAAACAAAATGAAATAATTAAAAAGGTAGAACTGGAAAATAGAAAAATTAGAACATACCTCCAACTCTGCTGCTGAATTATATCCATCAAAGTTCAGGAGCTCGTCCGAGTCTGGATCTTTTACACTTCCAGAGACTGATTCTTCCTGTGCTGGTTCAGGCTTGGTACTCTTGCTCAGGTTTGCGGCAGAAGCTCCTTCCTTTGAGCTGGAGACACCTGGCAGCTGACCGGTTATATCTTCCACTTTGAGGAAGTGAGATTCTTGAGGCACTTCTTTCTCAACTGCATTCTGATCTGTACTTCCCTCAAGAATCGCCAAAGCAGGTTCAGTCTTATTTTCCTCATCACTGTTATTTGCACACGCATCCAGACCTCTACCAGACTTTGGAGACTCTTCCGCAACAGTATCCTCTTCCTCAGAGCCAATGCCAGAGGAACCTTTATCAGCATCAAGTTTCCCTCCAGTAACCGAACTTGAACTTCCCTCTGCTTCCTTACTAGAATCTGAATGGTTCCCGTTATCGATAACGACGGACTTCTCATTCTCTTCTTCTGTGTTGTCGTCACTATCGTCCTCATCCATATCCTCGCTGTCACTATCATCCAATTTCTTCTTTCCCAGCCTAAATAAAAATGTAAACCACATAGTAAAGTTCCCAAGTTTCAAAAATCTAGACAGAAACAATATATTAGGTATTTCACTACGTTATTATTCTCAACATTGATTTTCCAAGTGACAATTTCAAATATAATTTTCTTTAGCGAAAGAACACGAGGCAGCGACAGGGAAAATTAAATTTAAACTACAAGGACAACTGTTTAATCAGCAACTCCAATTCATAACTTTGAATTTAATAGCCATTTGTGGTATCTATTTAGAGAAACTAAAGTACAATTGTTACCCTCCATTTTCCAAGAATCAAACAAGCTCCATAATCAATCATGCAAATACCTACAATCATTAAACCATTCACCTTAGTATTTTCGATTTAACTAATTCATTTTAGTTGACAAAATATATTACCTATTGATATTCTCCATTATTCTAAGGATGGCGGAAAGTATCTATTTATTGTTTACATAAATCATAAATGCATCCAATGTATGAGAATTTACATAAAATTAAAACAGCGAAAAACAATACCATATTTTCAACCGCTTGGACTCAGGTTCACCCGCCTCCACAGCGTTCTTTCTCTTCGAGCTCACCAACCCTTTAAACGATTCCCTAACTGATCTTTCCACTTCCTCCATACACTTTGCCGAGTCCTCCCTGTACTTTGCCACATACTTCTCCGAGCTATCTCCTTTACTATTTTTACCCTTCTTAACTGCCTCCTTGGTCTTCTTCTTGATATAATCCTCCGCCATTTTCTCCAGCTTCCTCTCCTCCGCCTCCGCCCTCCACTCTTCCAGCTTCTTCTCCGCGTTCACGTGCCTCAGTCTCCGCCCACTCATATCCCTGCAAGCATCAAAATTGTTTGTCTTCTTCTGTCCCGCCTTCGTAGCCGCTCCCCTAAGCAATGACCCAAACCCTCCTTTCCCGCCCCTGAGACGAAGCAACAAATGCACCACAATCGGAAAATTCCGAGACCCATCTGAAGACTTTCTGGGAAAACCTGTCTCGTGGGACCCACTAATAAAATATCGATCTTGAGGCAATTGGGAATCGAAATTGAAATCAAAATCTAAATCTAGGGTTTTGGGGATTTGGGTATTCTCGTCAGAGCCCAAATTGAAATCTAGGGTTTGGTGGTCATTGAGGACGCGGGAGTTGTGGGATAGGAGAAGTTGAAGATGGGAGGGAATAGAAGTAATACTCTGGATCTGGTGCTTGAGGGTTGGGACAGAGATCGAAGGGGTATTGAAATTCAAGAATCTGTGCTTTCCATCAAGAAGTTTGACAAGAACTTGATGGATTCCAGATTCAACCACCTCCATTTGCTCGAAATTTATGGCTTTGATCGGCTAACTGATCAAAGGGATTAGGCTTTTCCGGGTTTTGTCCGGTCACAGAGAGAGAGAGAGAGAGAGAGAGTCCTTTTTTAGGAAAAGGAAAAAGCTATTTGTACCTGACCCCTTACATTACTATTCACAGAATGACGTGGCTGCTGAAAAAATTTAAAACAAACCGTCACATTATTGTGACCAAAACCCGCGTCCCTTGATACGGGTAAAACCGGTCCAAATATTCCAAAAGAGGAAACTTTTGCCTCAACTTCCTTTTCACTTCAGATTTACCTCATTTTTCCTTTTCCTTTTCCTTTGAGATTTGCAGCCCCCAACCACGATACCTCATTTTCCAATTGGCCCTTTAAGATTTGCTGCCCCCAAAGCGAACTCTTATGCTGCAAAACCCGAATTCCACTGATCGAAATAATGTCGGACAAAGGCACTATCTATTTGTAAAAATGTGTTCTTTGCTTGGATATTGAGTTGGTTTGGTCGAGATAATGTCGGACACAACTAGTCTGGACATTGAGTTGGTTTGGTTCAAAAGATTTCAGAAAAAAATTTCAGTTGCTATTTTTTGGTTTTCTATGTGTTTATTGGATTTTGGCACCAAATAATATTAGATAAAATGTGTCAATATTTTTGGCCGAAATAATGTCGGACACAACTAGTCTGGATATTGAGTTGGTTTGGTTCGAAAGATTTCATAAAAAAATTTCAGTTGCTATTTTTTGGTTTTCTACGTGTTTATTGGGTCTGGGGACCAAATAATGGTAGATAAAATGTGTCAATATTTTTGTACACGTTGAAGAGTGTAATATGGAAGACTATCTTGTTTGGTTCCTTCACATTAATGTCGGCTAGTATTCATAAACTCGTCTTTCCAAATAGGTGGACAAAATATTGTACTTAACTAGATTGTTAACTTGTTGCAGAGAAATAAATTGCGAAAGATTCTGATGAGGAGAATTTGATAGAATCTAAAAATGACGACGTGATGGAAATTTTGAACATATTAGATGATGATACATCAGGAGTGGATGATGTGATTGTCCCTGAGGTTGGAATGAAGTTCAAGGATGAAAATGAAATGTTCGATTTCTATAAAAAATATGCCTACGCAGTAGGTTTTCCAGTTCGAAAAAGAAATTCAAAAAAGGATGACAATGGGGTTATGAGATATATTACATTGACATGTAGTCGTGAAGGTTGCAGAACAAGTAATACAAGGAGTTGAAACTTCGGGGTTGGTTGGTACGTCACGGGTTGTAAGGCCAGGTTGACCGCAGCTTGTGATATGTGTGGAATTTGGAGAATTAACACTGTCCATCTTGAGCATAATTATAAAACAAGTCCTTCGAAATCGAGGTTGTATAGATGTAACCGAGAACTGAGTGCACATGTCAAACAACGGTTTGAAGTGAATGATATGGCGGGCATTCCTTTACACAAAAGTTACAGCTCTGCAGTTGTTGAAGCGGGTGGTTATGAAAACATGACTTGCTTGGAAAGGATTGTTGAAATTATGTTGAACAAGTGAAGCGATTAAGACTTAGCGAAGGAGATGCCGCAGCAATACAATCCTACTTTTCGAATATGCAAGCAAGGTGCCCGGGGGTTTACTTTAGTATAGATTTGGATGAAGAGTCCCGACTGAAGAATGTTTTTTGGGCAGATAATAGGTGTAGGCAAGCATATAAGGAGTTTGGCGATGTTGTTACATTTGATACAACCTATCTCACAAACAAGTATGACATGCCGTTTGCCCCTTTTGTAGGAGTGAATCATCACGGACAATCAACATTGCTTTGTTGTGGTTTGCTATCGAATGAAAACACAAATACGTTTGTATGGCTTTTTAGGACGTGGCTACAGTGTATGCATGGTCAACCCCACCATTGTAAAATTACTGATCAAGATAGGGTTATACAAAATGCAATCGAGATTGTGTTCCCGAAGACGAAACATCGATGGTGTTTATGGCACATTATGAAGAAGTTGTCTGAGAAGTTTGGATACCATGTCGATAAGGGTTCTATATTTTCTACTATCCATGTCCTGGTATATGATTCTTAAAGTGTTGACGAATTTGAACAGGGTTGGGAAGTTATGTTAGAAACGTACAGCCTGCATGATAATGAATGGTTGTCCAGACTGTACGAGCAAAGAGGTCGGTGGGTTCCATGCTATTTGAAAACTACTTTCTGGGCAGGAATGTCAACAACCCAACGCAGTGAGAGTGTGAATGCATTTTTCGATGGATATGTACATTCAAAAACATCGCTAAAGCAATTTGTTGAACAGTGCGAGCGATCATTGAGAAATAAGGTCGAAAAGGAGTTTCAGGCTGATTTCAAATCTTATTCCCAAATGTTATCATGTACAACAACTTATGAAATAGAGAAGCAGTTTCAGGTTGCTTACACAATTTCTAAATACAGGGAAGTGCAAGAAGAGTTTATCGGGAAGGTTTACTGTGATCTCATTTCTACCTCGGAAGGATGTACATGGACTGTTTATGAGGTCCGGGAGGATGTGATGTGTTACGATCGAAGGGAAATTTTTTTTTTTTTTTTGTCACATATCGAAAAGAGAACTGTGAAGTTACTTGCAACTGCCATCTATTTGAATTTTGTGGAATAATATGCAGACATGCAATTTCAATTTTGATTCGTAATGACGTGACATCCCTGCCGAATAAGTATATATTACGAAGGTGGAGACGGGATGTGCGTAGAGCTCACACGAAGGTCGCAGTCAACTACGATGGGTTGATTACCACTCCTGGACAGTTGAATTATGACAAAATCTATCAATCTTTTAGTACCCTCGCAGACATGGTTGCAGATGATGACGAGCAAACCTGAGCATTAATGGAGTGGATTGAACAAAAAAAAAAAAACAAACGATGACGACGATGAGGTTGACTTGTGAAAGTAATGCCTTGTCGCAGCATTCTGTTCAGTTCTATTTTGACGTTAGAACATCACAAAATAGTGGCAGTGGGAGCATACGAGATCCTCAATGTTCGAAGAGAAAGGGCGAGACTAAGAAACTACGAAACAAGAGCCCACTGGAATCGAGTTCGAAGAAAGTGAAGGTCTGTTGCTTTCATTGATTTATTTTTCCGATAACGATGCGATGACATAATACTGAATATTATTTAACTCATCAATCATGCAGGTAAAGTCGACTTCGGCTAAAGGGAAGAGACCACGTGTTGGTCAAAGTAACCTCAGCACTTGTGCACCAATCGTTCCAGAAATCGTAGTACCACATTATCACATGCTGCCACCATTATCATATCCACCTGTCCCATTGGGTAGTACAATTTGTTTATGATTGTCCTACTTTGTTTACAATTTGTTCCACTATTTGGAATGTGTCCCAAAGAGATTTGTTTCATATTTTGGTGTAATCGTACATTTCTTTGCTTGCAGGTAAATAGTTGAAATGTTCAACACAAGAGTATATGCTATCTATGTTTGCCGCCCTTGTTCGATCTAGAAAGAAGTTTTTTTTCAATTTATTTTTGAAGCTGTGAAGTGAAGGTTCTCTGATGAGAAACTGGCTATGTTCAACACAAGAGCATATGGTTGATTTTTGCCCCCCTTGTTTGATCTAGAAAGAAGTTTTTGTTCAATTTGTTTTTGAAGCTGTGAAGTGAAGGTTCTCTGATGAGAAATTGGCTGGTCGAAAATGGTTCCGATGTCTGTAGCATGGCTTTTGTAGTATTGGTGAATAGACTTTTATGTTTTAATAGTTGGGATGAAATTTAATTTTTGAACAGGTCCTTTCCTTTTGTGGCATGGAATGATGATTCTGGGTGGATATTGTAATTAAATGATGTGAATATATGGTCTAAGTGGTGTTTAGCATTTACATTCAATTATTAGTAATAAGAAAGAAAAGTCCATACTAATGTAAGTATACTTTAGAAGAAGTTTAACAAATGCAGAAGCTGCCATTTGGTGAAATGGAGGTTATAAACGAGAACTTGGAACTAATCAATGAACAATTGCTGCTTCAATGTCTGTTACAAATGTTGATGCTATCGAGAAAGCAGGGAATCACGCCACTCTTTTGCTTAAAATAGCTACATAGTTAGCACCATGGACAAGTACGATTTCTAGTGCAAACCTCATTGACACCATATAATAATTACGAAAGACATGATCTAGACAATGCCAATATTTTTACATCATACTTAGTTAGCACTATAAAAGTGCGACATGTCTTCAAAATTTACATAACAAGTATAGCAAATACATAATACTCAACGTGGGGCATTCCCTTTGTTATCGACACTTGCTTTACCCTTGCGGATTGTCACATTCACATAAATTTTAAATTCTTCTTCGTCGTTTAAACGAAGCCTCGATTCAAACATGCCAGTGACATTTGCAACTACTTCATTCGTCCAAACGTTAGTTGACGTCACACTAGCTATACTTGATTCACCTTCTCCAACCCATTCCTAAAATCCGCATTTGCCACCGCAGCAGTTGAACAACTTGCCTTTGTTCTTAGTCTCCTACATGACAGGCATAAGCGTTTCTTCGGGCAATCTGCAAAGAAATGACCCTTACACCTACAGCTATGACAAATTCCATGGTTCTTTCCTGCCATTCTGCAATTTGAAGCCCCAACCACATTAATCTAAAATGTTACAAATTGTCTCACAGTTAATTTTCTACTGACCATCCAATAATTTGTCCCAGCATTTCTTTTGCATCATTGAAAAAAATTCAATTGCAACAGGACAAATAACTATGCTTCAGACGAACAAAAATGAGAAATTGAGCTTCTAATATCTTCAAATTCAGTCATTATAAAGAAATAATCCATGTGCACAGTAAATTTATGAGGAATGCATATTAATACAATTGTGCAAACACCCAAATCTGGAGACAAGCATATCTTTTTCGGTTTCTTTTTCTTAAAATTGTCAAATAAGCAGATACCCACATTCAGAATCAAACCCCATA